GGGGGGGGGGGGGGGGGGGGGGGGGGGGGGGGGGGGGGGGGGGGGGGGGGGGGGGGGGGGGGGCACGTGAACGATTGGTGAGGAATCAAAGGCTCATCCGTGTAGAAACCGATATCAAATCGGTACAGTAGTCAGCGCTGGCGAGGTAATGGTTTGATTTTCGGCTTCTGAAAGACGTAATGGTGGGGTTCGAAACACAGGCTACGCTTCAACTATTTTTTTTCAGGAGTCGAATGGTTTGATTCCGGCTTCAAAGTGCAGTTGGTGTCGGTGTGAGCAGCGAGTCGCTAAAAAGGCTGTTGCGTTCCTAGGACTCCTGCCGCATGGCGCCGCTACTTGTGCAGAGATTGTGTGTTGCAGGACGAGTTTACGCCAAAATCACGGTATACGAGCGGGCATGCGTGACGACTATCTACAGCGGAGCGAAGCGGCGAGACACTTGCCAACATCACAGTCGATGTCGTGGGTCATGAGCTGCAGTAGACCTGACGTTACCTTTCGTTGTCCCGTAGGACCACCGTAGGACCACCGTAGGACCAGAGCAAACGGTTTAGAGCTCAACAACATGAGGATTGAGAGCATAAGGACTTACCGGCAGTACACTATCCCCTGCGTTTTTACTTTGGACGTTTCGCTCTGGGAACGGAAAACACAAAAAAAAAGCAAAAACGTTCCCTCATGTGTTGAGAAATCGTTCACTTTGCGCACCAAACACCTTTTCCCGTCTTGCCTCTCCACTACCTGAACATCTCCGAGCCCAGGTCACACAGAGGATGCGCTACATGCCCTCGTTCAATCACGAGAAAAGGGTGCAGCGGTCTCTTTCGCCTCGAGTGTGTGGTCAGGAACGCGGGCTTTGTCTATCAACGGAGATGGATGCGGAAACGTACACATATTGCCGAGACCCGAACTCTCCACTTACAGTAGCCGAAGGAAGGCTATCAAGTCATCAAAGTCACCGATTACCGCAAGAAGCGGAGAGATGGAACCCCCCCCGTGGACCGATTTTCGAAGCTCGATAACTCCACAAGCAAGGTTGCCTGTACCGTACCGTATACCGTACCGTGGTATTCCGTGAGAGGCGGAGAGATGGCACCCCCCCTACACCGATATTCGAAGCTCGGTTGCCCCACAAGCAAGATTGTGCCAACAGTAACACTAAAACTGGTGCTTTTGGAAACATCTCGTCGAGGGCTTTCCGCAGTGCTTTTTTCGGGCTATGTCCGCACCCCCCCTTCGTTCCGTAACTATCGGTCTGGGGTGTGTGTGATATCTCCGCCTCTCACCGTAGACCATCGCGAGGGGAATCGTTTCCTGCGAGCGGCTCGTTGGCCACGGCCACACCGCGCGTTCGGCAACAAGAGTCAAGAAGGGACACGCGAGCAGCATGGAGTAACCGCACGTGCCCGTGGTGGCTTTGGCCTCCTCGCTGGATAGATTAAAACACACACTCCCGCAAGACGCCCGCACGCTTAGCAACACGCGCACGCACGTACCTTTCCCTAGCCAGAGGTTCATGATAAGGTACGTTACTGTTACTATCCCCAGGTTCGAGACAAGTAAGTACGCACCTTTTCCTACCCAAATGTTGGTGAGGAGGAGCTCGAGCCCGCTTTCGGCGGCAGCCGTGGGTAGCGGGACCATCTCCTGCCGGCCGAAAGGAGCAGCAGTGCACACACATCACGAGGATCATCGCAGACAACGCCACAGGAGAGAGAAAAAATGATTGACATCAAGGGATGCGGTCAGCGGGGGGGGGGGGGGGGGGGGGGGGCGGGGGTACATAGGCAAAGTCGCGGCGAGAGGAGAACGCACGACGGGAAATAAAGGCAGATAGGGGCTGAAAAGCGAGGGAATTAAAGCAACTCGAGGCGAGCGGACACAGGGGAAAATGGGCCGACAGTACTATTCTCGATGGATTTCGACCTACCTGAGAGCAGCATCTACTGCAGTACCCACCGCCATTGGAGTGCCCAGGTACTGGTGCAGCGCCAAGTATTCAAGGTAAAACGTCTCTTTGATATCTTCCTGCCTCAGCAGCCGCACGAAGTCGGAAAACGCCATCGAGGTCGCGGGGGGCCGCACGAGCACCTCGTCATCGGGGGCGAGCCCCCACATGTCTCCCGGTTCCGGCCCGTCGAATCTGCGTCGTCCCCGAATCGAGTGCAGAAACGGACGAGGGAAAGAGGGGTGGGGGGGTGGAGTGAGGAGGGAGAATTGTTAGACAAAAGGTCCGCAGCAGCGACGCGCGGACTGCTGGGAGGGTCGGGTGTGCACAGGCACGCGCCGCCAACGTCGACTGTTGAGAGCAAACCCCAGGATTGCAGACGGATTCTCACATAGGTCCACATGGACACCCCAGGAAGGAGGGACGACCATCAAGCTCCATGCTCGGGCCGTGCCGATTGCAACCCGTCGATCCCACACGCTTTGTTTACTTTCGCCCACTGTGCCCGATTTCTTGTCCTGGGTACCACCCGTATTGTGTGCACAACACATGTTGCGGCTGGGGAATCTAAGGGGTATAGTTGAACAATGTTTGGGTTGGGCGTTGTCCGCACCTTCCCGTTTCGCTGAGGCTAACTCGCACCACGCTGTCCCCGAACCTCTCCGACAGTGCCGTCCATGACCACGCCTCCTTAGGGGCAAACCCATCCTGAAAGTTCTGGAAAAACGAACCAGGAAAAAAATGCGTTCTTACGCGCGTTTTTTTTTTCCGCTGAGACTGAAGAAGTTTCGTCGTTCAGACGGTTAGGAAAGCCGATCCACAGAATGGTTGATCCGAAAGACCATCACGAAAGGCAATTAAAAGAAAAATATGATCTCCACATTAGCAGTTTATCCGAAGGCCCATCATTAAAGACAACTGAACGATCCACAGAATAGTTAATCCGAAAGTCCATCACGAAAGACAATTAAAAGAAAAATATGATCTACACATTAGCAGTTAATCCGAAGGCCTATCATGAAAGACAACTGAAGAAAAAAATTGATTCCCTGTCCCCGACATTGCGAGCCAAGAGCCTGGAAGTTTACTCTAGGTCAGCCAAGCCAACAACTTTCACCTCTTTTCAGGTCAACCAATCTACATATCCCGACTGCACACCGTAGAGATACAGTAGTACGTCCCGAGAGTGGGAGAATCGGGCCACCACTGGTTGCAATATACGGCGTGCTAGAGATGTAGGTCGCCGCCCAGGTGATACGGAAAACAGAATGGTACAGCACGGCAAACGCTTCGTGGCCCTTACGCGTCACAAGCCCATGAAATCACCATAACAGGTTAGTCATCACCTTGATAACGGCGGGCTTGCTCTTGTTGACAAACGCCTCCATGAACTCTTCGGGACCCGAAATCTCCACCTCCGGGAGGGAAAGATACCCCCCGGCCTCCTCCACCCACGCCGACGGGGCCCCTTCTCGCTTTACCCCTGCACCTGCAGGCTCATCGCGTCGCCCGGCCTTGTCACTTGCGGTACCAATTCCTCCTTCTCCTTGGCGGTCTCTTCGTTCTCCTGGAAGCCCTTCTTTTGTTTTTTGCTGGTCTTTTCGGAGTGCGTTGGCCCACTCTTCCACCTCTCGTTCCTGAATCATGCCAACATCACGATCATCCTCAGCAACAAAACCAAGCAAAAGGGAATATATTTAGACGGAACCGCTTCAAGATGAGCGGCAACGCTTGTACCTCCGGCGGAAGGGAAAGAAGCGCCCCACACGTCTCGTGAGCCCAGCTTACACAGGTAGCAACAGCAGCGGCGGCAAACCCAAGCAACATCAACATGGACACCAACAAGGCAACAAGAACAACGACAATGACGAAACCAACAGTAACACAACGGTGCGTGCGTACAAGACGTTCAACTTGCGCGGCATTGCCGCGTGGCATGGGGGATGGGGGATGACGACCCCCCGGCTTTCGGCGAGAAGTTTGCGACTTTCGGTTCAACTGGCGCGTTCAACTGGCGCGTGCGGGGGAGGCAAGTAGATCGAGTGACAAACGTACCTCCATCTCACACCACTTGAGCGCCTCCGTCGCGGGGATGGCCGTCCCCTCCTCCCCGGAAGCCACCGCCTCCCTCAGGTGGCGCTTCGCTTCTTCCGCGTTCAGGCCGAAAGCGTACAGCGCCGCCTGGTTCGTAACTCCCGTCCCCGTCAGAAGTAACGCCTGCTTACGGCAGGCCACAACACACGAGAGAAAACATGCAATCAATCGAACGCCTTATTTAGTGACTGCTCCCGCGCCCGTCAGAAACAAAGCCTACTTAAGGCAGCTCATAACACAAGAGAGAGCGAGCGTTTCAATCGGAACGCTTTGCTACATTTCAAGACGAAAGAACTGCGGCAACAACCGGGTTCAGACACCTGCCGAAGCAGTTTCGCGGAACATCTTCAAAACTTTGACGAACAACAACAACAACAACAACAACAACAACAACAACAACGCCTGCTCGTACCTTCCGGAAGTGGGCCTTGCCCATCCCCGGGTCAATGCCTAACGCCTCGTCGTAGGCGTTTCCCGCGCCTTCCTCGTCCTTGAGCGCCTCGCACAGTTCCCCGTAGGCGAGCTGGTGCACCGCATTGTTGGGGTCCTGCGTAGGGAAAGGTGCGCCAAGGGAAACGACGGGGTTGGAGTCGCGAACGAAACTTACGCTTAAATACATCCAACGTCACGCGACGACGGCCATCTTGTGAGTAAGACTGAATACAGATTTGTGATTCTTGGTGTTTCGGTGGTGAGGGTCGCTGTGCTGTTTGAGTAGAAAAACACGACAGCTATGTGAGCTGCTGAGCTTGGGGAATGTCACACCCGCAGTTGGGGTGAAGAAGGCCGGGGCGCACCGACGTGTCACGGTACGATGGCCCACATAGCGGGGAGCTGGAAGCAGACCGAGTAGCCGTTATCGCCAACGGCTAATTTCTCGAAGAGAGGCAGTTCTTTGCGAGCTGCAAGTATCCTCCCTCTCTAGACCACCCCTGCGACTTCACTTCTCGACTCCGAGTTGAATCCTAATCCTCGCCTTTTGGAGGAGTCGCTTGTAGGTGTCCCTCGCTTGCTCCAGCATGTCGTAAGCGGTGAACATCTGCCTCGCCCGTGGCGGGGTGGGGGGGCTCAGTCAAAAGAAGCTTCACGGTCTCATCTAAGCTGGTCGTGCCTAGTGTCGAATCTGGAAACGTCACGGAGGAGGACACGACAGCACCCGTGCGTGTGCACGTGTGTGTGGCACGTGTGCCGCTAGGCTTGACACGCGACGCGCGGTCAGTCGGCCCGATTGCTTCAGTTCGTTCAGCGGTCACTTCATCCGCGAACAGCGACAACTTTACCCCGAAAGGCTCAACTTCGGACGGGCGGCGGACACAAAGACGCTCCGAAGTGGTTCTTCGCCGCATCGTCAAAGCTGTGGTCACAACCGGGCCAACAGATTTTCAGACGGGCTCGCGACAATGTACCGCGCAGCATGACCTTGTCTAGGTCGTCTCCTTCGGACTAGAAATAGCGTTAACCTTGTCCCTTCCCTTCTTACCTGAGCCACTACCGTCAGGTCCAGCTTGGGGTTGAGCTCGCCCGCCCTCGCGAACGCTTCGTCTGCCGCAACCACCTATGCACAAGGACACAGGTACATAGGGGAAAGGGACAGAGGATAGTTCTTTTGACGGGGGGGCTTCGTGTTCGGGGAAAAGTTCCGCTCTCGTTCTTTTACCGAGACCTCTGCTTGGACCCTTGTTCGACGCCGTTCCGCTGCTGAGCGCCTTGCCCCGCCTCGGGGGGTAAGTCGAAAATGCAAGGAAGCAGGGACCCCCACACCCCCCATTCCAGGCCTGTGCATGAACACCTATCTCAAGAATTCCCAACGAGGGACGCCCCACCTCCGTGGTCGGCCACCCAAACGTCCTCCTCCTCACAGACAGCAGAGAGTAAGCTGCCAAAAGTCCCCCCCAGACGCGTGTAGAGACCCACACAAACCACGTCCTCGAAACGCAGCTGAACATGGCGGATGGCGCCAAACTCTGGGCTACATACACACTTCGTTTACAACAGTAATGCTCTTGCACACGCACGTTACCTGGCCTCTCTTGCAGCTAAGAACGCCCATGTCGAAGTGAAGAAGCGCGTTCGAAGGGTCCAGAGACAGGCTCCTGCCGCGCAAGCCGAAGGGGGAGACGCAGCAGAGAAACACACACACGCGCATGCTAACCCATGCGTCAACTAGGTTTTTGGTGCTCTCTGAGGTGATTTCGATCGATACCATGCACGTTACCACAAGCGCCGGGAGGAAACGCAGGCCAAGCATGCCTTAATCAGGAACCAACTCAACGAAGCTCTGCACCACTGCGATCTCGCACAATGTCCGTACGGATCGGGGATCTCGAATAATCGGGAGCCGAGATTTTACAGGACTACCGTATGCCGTGGGTCGGCAAAGGCGCCGGCCAACCATGGCACCTGACCTCGCGTAGTGTCGCTCCGCAGCTTCCTCGTTTCCCGTGGCCATGCAGACCCTTCCCAGGCCCAACCAGGCCTCGGCGTTGTCGGCGTCGGCCTCCAGCGATCGCTCAAACGATTCCTTCGCTTCCGCCCATCTGTGTCAACAGTCGCCGGGGGGAAGGTTTTAGACAGCCGGTGGTGATCTAAGAGGATGGCGATTGTGGGCCTCATTGAGGGTTGGATAGGTACGAGGGATACGCATTGCTGCGCGTGGTCGACCTCATTTGGTGCACGGGTGGGGACATGCATAGGCACGCAAGATGCGCATTGCTGCTCGTGGTATTTCGCTAACGCTTGTTGCTCGTAAGAGCCAGGTCCGGCATATTCTCTCTCCACACAGCCTTCGCCGCTCGACTCTCACAATCGTCTGGCCACAAAACTATTTTCCCGCGAACATACCGAACAAAACGACACCTACAGTTCCCCAACCAACGAAGGAAATAAAACACTTAGATGCCAGGCAAGCATTAGGGTCTAACGGCTGGTTCTTGCTGCAGATTTGGACGGTGCACATTGCGCAAACACAGAAACACACGCCCACAAAAAAAAAAAACTGAAAAATATTCCCCCCGACACTCATAAAAAAAAAAAAAGCAAAACCTACCTTTGCTGGAACGCGAAAACCTTGGCCAGGGCGTGGTGGGCGGGAGCGTTTCTCGGCGACGCTTCCAGCGCGACCCTGTAGAGCTTTTCGGCCTCGTCAAGCTTCCCGGTCGTGGCCCGCACCCGCCCCAGCAACACGAGGGCGGGCGGGTTCGAAGGGGACTCGGAGAGTGCCTGCCGAAGGACCGACTCTGCTTCGTCGAACTTCCGGCGCTGAGCGCATGGTTGCAAGAAGCATGTTCGGGGCATGTTCGGGGCGGGGGAGGGAGCGGCGGGATTTGGGGGGGGGATGAGTCCAGCACGCGTTGGGCCGAGGAGAGGAGCCGAGACTGCAGGCGTGAGGGGTTGTCCGGGGGAACATGGAAAGCTCGTGGAGAATCGGTAATGTTGCTGTCCCAAGGCGCAATGCTACGCACGTGAATGGCTCTGGAAGAAAATAGGCAAGGCACCGGACGATTCAGGTGTAATGGTCGTTCCTTCGCTGCTATCCTTTCCAGGGCTGTGTGGACCTAGTCCGACCACAGATACGGGTATTCGTTCCTAGGCATGCTGTTCAAAGCTTTCTCGTGACCATGCATAAACGTACAAGCAGCCGCCTCTCAATCACGCACCAGCTGAGTAGCACACTCTCAGGCGGACACAATACCGTGTACGACACAAGATAGCACACCCCCTGGACTGATTTTCAAAGCCTGATTACGCCACAATCAAGAGGGTGCATGAAAGAAACGATGCGTTTTCGGAGAGCTCTCGACCAGACGGCTCCAACGCCAGCGTTTCGGCGCTTCGACTCTTGCTGCTGTTTCTGTGTTTGTGTTTGTGTTTCCTCATCTTGATTCGCACACGTACATGCTTGGTGTGGGGATTTTTCGACTCCAGGCCAAGGCCTGTGATACATAATGCTGAGAAGCGTGGATGTATCCGCTACACTGGGATCAACAGCACGCATGTTTGCCGCGTACGCTCCTGTATGCGTTTCTCTGTATTGTCAAGGAGTGTTGCTGTAGGGCCTACATAGGGAACACCTTTCTACACAATAGGATGTGGGATGGCCGGGAGGTATACCTCTGAGGGACCATACCACATCAGGACTCAGCTATCTGCGTACCCCCCTGGTTGCAAAGTGGATCCCCACCTCAATCAGGTCTTCCTCGCTCTCAATTCAAGCAACATCTCATTTCTACACAATCGTGGAGACAAGGCATCAAGCGACCGTACCTCTTTCTTGACCCTAGGACCCAGACGCTTCCAACAGCCGGGGCTCTTTCTCATCTGGCGTCGTCTGGCAAGTCTACGGGTAAGCTAGCGTTGGACGCGGCGCTGTGCTCCCGTTGTTGGTTGGTGTTTTCTCTTTTTCTGATTGCTTCTTGCTTGCAATTTTAGGTCTCACCAACTACGAGAGCTTGTTTTGAGTGCCCCGTGGTGTTTTCACTTTTTCTGATAGCTTCTTGCTTGCAATTTTAGGTCTCACCAACTACGAGAGCTTGTTTTGAGTGCCCCGTGGTGTTTTCACTTTTTCTGATAGCTTCTTGCTTGCAATTTTAGGTCTCACCGACTACGAGAGCTTGTTTTGAGTGCCCCGGGCACTTCAGGGATCGGATGCCTGCCTACGATGCGTTTGCCACGAGAGCACGAGAATGGGATCTAGCGACGGATTCTCTCGCATCGGAGATGCTTCAGGCATAGCAGGAGACTTCTCGTATGCTCGTCAACCTCCTCGCGCTCTTCTCTCCGTGACTTCGTTGCATGAGGTCATCTCAGTAGCAGAAAAATTTGTTTACGGCAGCCACAGGTACTGGCCTTGTGCGGTCGTGCGCGAGATGACAGCATGCTTCCCTCATCCACTGCCGAGACTGCTTTTGTGCCTGCACATCGCTCGGCGTCTGCTGATTATCCGGTGATGCTGTAGGATTTGACCCCGCACACCTCAAGCTGGCGAGCTCTTGCTGTGCACCAATTGGGTGTGCGTCATGCCTTTCGCTTCCCGTCTGCTTTTCGTGACAACGTGACTGATTTTTTTGGGCCATTTTGATCAGTTGAGTTGGAGCAACACCTCCCTCTCAAACCGATGGGCGTGACCAAACGTACACCTCCTCCCCTCGTACCTGAGCGGTTGGCCGCATTGCGCACTCTTTGGTCGGGGGCTTAAGTGTCCCCGTCCGATACGGGTCCTTTTGTGCTGGCGTCCACATCCGTGTGGTAATGGAGCAAGGTCATTTTGAATGCTTTTTCTACTTGCTTGGTTCCGCCCAAATTGCCGGCTCATGAAGCTTTTATCGCTGGCCGCATGTTGTCATGTGGGTATCTGCGTGGTGCTTTTGCGCCACTGCCCTCTTCTGCGATGGGGGGTACTTCTGCTATTCCTATCGCCGACCATGATCGCTCTTCTAGCGATTCTGCTGTTATGGAATATGAGAATCAGATGTAAGCTGAAGATCAGGAAGAATCCCTCTCCGATGAGGACAATCGCTTATTTTGGGCAGATCAGGTGGAACAAGAAGACGCAAAAAGGCCCGAACGTGTTCGGAAGTTAGCCCTTTTCTCTCGGCCTGCTGTTGCTGCTGACGACTTCTTGCATTTGGATGCCGCTTAACATGTTCTTGAGGATACAGGCACTTTGTTGCCCGCGGAGTCTGCTGCAGCTGACGTGAGTGTGAGTGGCGACCTTTTGATGTCGGAGAATGTGCAGCCTATTGCTGTTCAGCAGTCTACGGACACAGGTAATGTGAGGGCTGATGCCCGGCGTACCTCGGCGGATGCAGGTGTTTCTTTTGGAGTTGCTGCCTCTGGACTTGGCGTTGCTGATGCTGCTGGAGTTTCCGCAGGAGCTGTGGGAGCTGATAGGACTTTGTTGCCTTCGGAGACCGCTGGAACTGCTGGAATGTTGGTGCATTCGGAGTCTGCTGGAACAGCTGCCGCTGGTTTTCGAGCTGATGGTGAAGGTGCTTTGCCGTCTCGGGGCGAACACTTTGCAGGCGCTACCGGAGTTTCCGCCGGAGTTTCCGCTGGAGCCCATCGTTCTTCGTCGTATTCGGAGTCTGCTCTTATTTTTCTTATCCCAGCTTATGCCCCCTCCGTTTTACATGTACAGCCCTCGATGCCCGACAATCTCCTGGATGCTGACATTGAAAACATGAGTAACGAACTGTACACGTGGTGGGAACAGCGTCTAGTTGCTCACAACCTCAAGCTCGAGAAGGTTAACCTTCGATATATAATATATACATCGAAGGTCAACCTCCTCGAGCTTGAGGTTGTGTATATATATATCGAAGGTTAACCTTCTCGAGCTTGAGGTTGTGAGCAACTAGACGGTGTTCCCACCGCGTGTACCGTTCGTGGCTCAAGCTACGAATGTCAGCATCCAAGAAATGTTCAGGCAGCAAATACTGTTCAGGAAAAACGGAGGGGACATAACCTGGGACAGGAACACGAAGAGCAGACTCCGAAAACGACGAAGAACGCTTGGGCTCCCTCCGCTCCAGCGGAAACTCCAGCGGAAACTTCGGCGGCGCCAGCAAAGTGTTCGCCCCGAGACGGCAAAGCACCTACACCATCAGCTCGAAAACTGGCGGCAGCTGTTCCAGCAGACTCCGCAGACTCCGCCTAGGACCCACCTGCTTCCAACAGCTCGGGCTCCTTCTCAGTATGTCTCCGCAGGATGCACATGTTGTTTGTCTACAAGGACGGTTCGTCCAAGCTGAGATTCACGACTGCTGTATTTGTGGCAAGTAAGAGAGGATTTCTCCTCTTGCAGGGATGTTTGATACGTGCCCTCTGAGATGAACCCAGACGCATTGACCTACTCTCTGGTCTGTCCTCTCGCTGATGCTGCAAGCTGTGACCATGGTTCGTGATGAGCAGTGGCGCAGTGCCGCCCCATGAAACCACGTAACACAAAACGGACAGATCCCGCCTCTTCTTCTCACCTCGAACAGACCGGCTGCTGCAGCCACTAGCTCGCCGTGTTGCGCTCCTGCGAGCGCGACATGGCTCACTGAGACGACAAGCACCGCGGTCAACCTCGTCAACATCGCCGTAAGTGGCGAGGTACTCGGTCTATGTCATGTTCCGCGCTCCGCTCCGTGTGCTGGCTGTGGTTCGCGATGTTCACGATCCTTGTTCACATTACCCTCTGTTGTTGCAGTGCTGATCGTGCGGAGCCCCCATGTCAACTTTGGTATTGTTAATTGCTTTCGTTGTTCATCGCACCCCGCCACCAACAACGTGTCGTCTGGTCTCTTGGCAGCTTTCTTGTCGAAGCTTGTTGTTCTTTGTCGAGCTGGCGCTGCAAACGGAAGAAGACGCCACCGCCTTTCGAGGCTGAGCAATAAGGCAGAGTTCAGACAAAAGTCATCCATTCCCCGCTGTGTGTAGTCGACGTATGTAGGCGACATGGACTGGCGACATGGGTACATGTTTAGCATCTAGCGATGAAAGGTTGGGCCGTGCAGGAACACATCGGCCGGCTCGCAAGAAACCAGGTCATGGAGCCTAACCCTATGAGCAGGCCGGCTCTACTGGGTAGGCGCTCAAAAAAAAACACATTTTTTTTTTCTCCCTTAATCGGATTCTGTCGTCTACCCCTCTGGTCCCTATCCTTTACTTCTACTAGCTAGATGACCCAACCGGGGTCACATAGGAGGGGGTCCAGCCCCCCCCTCCTGCGGTTCCTGCCTGAGGTATTTTTATCGCGAGGAGGGTACAGCAATCCCTTCCCTCGCGACGTCGATTATGGTTTACTAACAACGACCTTTGCAACGCGTCGCTTTCATCCTAGACCAGGATTTATTTGGTGAGAAAATAACTCACCCCGCCGGGACTCGAACCCATGATCTGGGCCTTAGCAGGCTGAAGGGTTACCCACTCGACCATCGTGGCGACTGGTACATTCAAGCAGCTGTCAGGAACACGCGCTTCTAGTTACTACTCCCATTTTTGCAGATGAAGACAGCCACATTCACCTTGCCTGCCGTCTTTCTGCGTAGACTGAGTAACAGGTCGACAGCTCCAAGTTAGATGTTGGTCGGGCTCTGGGTCTCAAGAAGAGGACAACATTGTTTTCGTTCAATCTTCGTGCCATGAACACCCACGCGCGACCCGGCCTTGTGAGCACAGCGAGCGGCGGGGGTGTCGACTCTCATCACCAAATGAACGTACCGTTGACCAAAGAAAGGACGCTTTGTTTCGGAAAAACGCCGTCGCCACACCCACAGTCGACGTCCGCATGCAACAGACCAGACACAGCC